ACACACACACACACACACACACACACACACACACACACACACACACATACACAGAGAAACAATGACATGGAAATGTGGAGACAGATTGGCGGAGAGACATAGAGACCGAGAAGGACCAAGATGAAAAGGGAGCGAGGGAGAAAGGGAAGGAGGGAGGGAGGAAGGAACAGAGAGAGAGGGAGAGAGAGAACGCGAACGACAGAGACAGAGAGACACAGTGAGAAATCTAAGACAGAGGGACAGACAGACAGCTGAAAAAAGACAGCAAGATGGGCTGAGAGAGACGTGGGAAGACCGACGCTGCAGGAGAGAGAAAAGACTATAAAGAGACAGAAAATAGAGGGTCCTGATGGAAAAAACGGGGTAAGACTAGAATCAAGAATCCAAGAGGTACGTGAAGAGGGCAGGAGTGCCCGGTGAACAGCCCGGGCACGGGAGGCGGGCCACTGCGCCCGATCCCGGGCTCTGGATGCCCAGCAGCTCCACTCACCTGCCTGGCACCGCCCGAAGACCCGGGTGTCTCCACGGCGGTCCGTCTGCTCCGCCGCGCTTCGGGCGGCTCCTGTGTCAGCTGGGTTCCCTGCGCAGGGTCCCCGCCGTGCGCTCCTGCCGCCTTGCGCTCCTCTGACCGCGGTGCGCTCACTGGAGGACGCTCCGCTGCTTGCGGTCCCGGGGGCGGGACCCGAGCCGGGCAAGGCGGGCGCGGGCGGGATGGCGCAGCGGAAGAGGTCGGGGTGGATTCTGCCCCTCGTAGCCCTCCAACAGGTGTCTCCCGCCTTCTTTACATCCAGACTCGAAGGAGGGGGCGCTGGAGAACTATGGGGAAACACCCGTGGAGAGAGAGGAGCCCACAGCTAGTAAACTCCGATCCACGGCCCCGCCCAGCTTCACAGGTCGCGGTCCGCAAACCCACACTCAGTGACCACCGTGCACTCATTAACATACCTTGTTACAAGTTCGGGCCCAATCCTACACATTCCGTTTAAAGGTCACTAGAGGGGTCCAAGACCTGGGCAAGCTGTAATCACACAGCCCTGCAGGATGCTGGGGTGAATGTGGAACACCTGGCCAGAACAGAGCTTCACTTCCGGCCCTACCCACTTGCCATCTCCAACTGCACACATATGCGCCCGCCAGTGGCCCCAAGTCTGTGCTCTGACAGCGGTCTCTGCCACCTGCACATCGCATCAGTATATACACACCGTATGAGAAACACACACACAGATTTCTCCTTTTAAAAGCCTCACTTGACGTTCTCTTAAGGATTTTCCAAGTAAGTCCGGAAGAGTGAAGAGTGTGATGGCTCTTGCCTTCTCAATATCCGTTTTGTTCCAGTGATCATGAGTTTGCACATACATTCTTCACCCCTGTGTCCCTGACTTCCAAATATGTACGCCCAGATTCCTTGAGCCAACTGGACCTATCCTACCCCACCAAACCTTTTGTGCCTCTTCTGTTTTGGGAGTCCTGTCTGGCAGGCCACAGTTTCTCCCCTGAGCAGCTTGACCCTATTCCTCTCAGGTACCCTGAGCTTCCTGAACTTCATTTTGGGGTCAAGGAGACCTACCTGTGAAAAGCGTGAGGACCGCCACAAGCTAGCTAGGTGAGCAGCAGTGACACAGGCATGGCCATGTGGCTACACAAACCCTTTAGCACTGGGGACTATCCTCAGACTTTACACCTAGTGGGGTACATATGCCTCAGGACAACATGCCCCTACACGGCAGGGATCTGGGCGTGACCTTTCTCTCTTCTCTCATCCTCCTCTGGTTCATCGGCTCCTCGCAGTCTTGGCTTGCCCCAGCCCAGACCACAGGGTCTGCAGCACCCCTGATTACTTGCTGCTCACTCCAGCCTACTCTGAAACCCAGCTCCTTCTGCTGCAAGGCGGCACCCTTGCTCTTGCCGCAGGAGCTCAGCCTATTTGTTCCTTTGGCTACTCTCTGCCTTTCCCCTCCCATGTCAGACCTCATAGCCAGTCAATCTTTTCCAACCTGCCTAGTCCTGATGAGACACCCTCATTCCATGCTCATGGGTGTCTGAGGATATACACGATCCTCACGCAGAGCGCCCACACCCCGCCACGGTAGGCCCACGGGGTGCACTAGTGGAATTGGTGCATGCATGGGGCAGGCAGCCATGTCCTGAGGTGTCACAGATGACTGGGGGGAAAGGGTAAGGATGTATGTACAGAACTTGGGTCCAGCGGCTTCCACTGACTGCTCAGATGTCCCTGGAGAGCAATGTAAGATTCCTCCTGGCAAAGTAGGTGCTGGCTTGGGAAATTCCAGTTCTGAGAGGCTAGAAATGACTTTTTATGGGTCTTGATGGGAGGGGCCATGGAGATAGGTATCCCCCCTGACCTCCAGATACTGGGAATCAAGCAAAATGAACTCAACCTAGGAAGAGATGAAGGAGACGATTAAGGATGACTAGGACCTTGTTTTATTCATTTTTAAAGATTTTATTTATTTTATGTATGAGTGCCCTATCTGCATGTGTGCCTGCATTCCAGAAGAGGGCAGAGGGCATCAGATCTCATTATAGATGGTTGTGATCCACCATGTGGTTGCTGGGAATAGAGCTCAGGACCTCTGTAAGAGTAGGCAGTGCTCTTAACAGCTGAGCGACCTCTCCAGCCCAGGACCTGGTCTTAAAGGAAGGCTGCCTCTTATCCCACTGCTCAGGCTTCCTATACCCCGGAGACAAGGCAAAATGACCCACACACATTTATTGAGTACTTTATGGCAGGCACTGTTGGGCACAGGCCTGAATAAAACAGCGTCACTGTTACTTGGGATTATTCCATTGGAGAAAATATATTCTGTGTCAGACAGAGGTATATATTATGAAAAAAAAAATGTAACTGAAGCTGGGCCTGGTGGCACAGACATGCAATCCCAGCTGCTTGAGAGGCTGAGCCTGGAGGGTCACCAAAGCTAAAGGCCTACTTGAGCAACTTGGTGAGATCTGTTTCAGGATAAAATGCAAAAAGACTGGGGTTGGGGAATTAGCTCAGTGGTAGAGAGCTTGCCTAGTGAGCACAAGGCCCTGGGTTCAGTCCTCAGCTCTGAGGAAAAAAAAAAAAGTAAGATCTTCCTTGTCCCAGCCTCCTTTATGGGCTGGAGAGATGGCTCAGAGGTTAAGAGCACTGGCTGCTCTTCCAGAGGTCCTGAGTTCAATTCCCAGCAGCCACATGGTGCCTCATGACCACCTATAATGAGATCTGATGCCTTTTTCTGGTGTACATGCAGGCAGAACATTTTATGTGTAATAATAAATCTTACAAAGAAAGAAAAGATAATGCTTGGATTTGGGGCATACCTATTTGGCATGTAGCAAATTGTCATTCTCCCAAGTTTAGAACTTGAAACAAGAAGTGCTTATTGTCTCATACTTTTGTGGAAAGGGACTAAAAATGGTTTAGTTGGGGGTTGGAGGAGTCATAACTTTTTGCCTATGAAGTTTTTTATTATTTTATTTTATTTTATGTGGATGGGTGCTTCGCCTGCATGTCCATGTATCCACCACATACATGCCTGGTACCTAGGAGGCCACAGAGGATGTCAGATCCCCTGAAACTGGAGTTCCAGATCATTGTGAGCTGTCCTGTGGGTGCTAGGAACTGAACCTGGGTCCTCTGCAAGAGCAGCCAGTGCTTAACTGTCCAGTCATCGCTCCAGCTGTCTCATGAGGTTTCCATTGTTATTCTTGGTTACTGTGACAAATGCCTGCCAAAAGTAACTCCAGGGAGGGTTTACCTGGGAAGGCACAGTCCATTATGGCAGGGGAAACATTGGGGAGAAATGTGGGGCAGCTGGGAGAAGCAGAGATGAGGGGCTAGAGAGATGGCTCAGCTGTTAGGAGCACTTGCCATTTTTGCAGAGTCCCATGGTGGAGTCCCAGCCCCACAGCAGCTAGGGGAACTAAGAGTCACCATGGAAACACACCGAGTGTGTTAATGAGGGCATCCAGAAAGGTTTAACCGAATATGGAAGACCAACTCTGAGTGTGGGTGCCATTCCATGGCCGGGCTCCAGACTGAATAAAAAAGGAGGAAGTAAGCTGAATGCCAGCATCCACACCTGCTGCTCTTCCATTAAATTTTTTTTTAATTTTATGTGTGTGGGTGTTTATGTACATGGACTGCACTCAGGCCTGATACCCTCAGATCCCTATTTGGAACCGGGGTAAACCACCTGACGCAGGTGCTAAGAACAACTCATGTCCTCTTCAAGAGCAGGAAACACTCTTAACCACAAAGCCAGCCTCCAGCAGGCAGTAGACTTCATCTCTTGAAGGAGGGAGTGTCAAAAATTGTTCTCAGAGGGTGAGAAGCTGGAGAGATAAAGTTGGAAGAGAGCTTGTTGCAGAAGCACAAGACGAACTGAGTTCAGGCCCCAGAACCAAATAAGAAACCAGGAGTTGTGGCAAACGCCTGTTGGCACAAGCCTGTAACCTGAGCCTGAGGGGCTGGGTGTGGGAAGCGCAGACAGGAGGATCCTTGGGACTTTATGGAAGGTGAGTCTGGCTGAATTGGTGAGCTCCAAGTGAAAGGCCTTAGGTCAAAAATAAGGTAGACAGTGACTGAAAAGACACCCAAATTGTGTCATTGTGTCTGGCCTAAACATGCGCGCGCGCACACACACTTGCACCCATACCCATGAACTCCTCTCCCAACACACAGACTTTTACTGAGGGGGCTGGCGGTGCAAGTCAGTTATATAGAATTTGCCTACATACTTGAGGCCCTGGGTTCAGCCTTCAGCACTGTGCACACAGCACACATTTAGAACCCACCACAGAAAGGATGTTAGGTGTTGCTATGTTAAAGGAAAGGTTCTCTAGGAGAAATTAAGGAAGGCAAGCTATGTGGCCACCTAAGAGCTTTGACATCGGAAGAACCAACGCAGACATCGGGAGATGGACTGAAAGAAAAGCAGAGAGCACGGGATAGCTAACAGTGAGTAGCTGGATGTTTGGTCACTTAGGCTTTGGAGTAGATTCATGGAAATGATTCATCCAAATGATGTGGAAAGCCAGTGAAGATATATGAGGAGCATCTGCTTCTGGGTTTTTGTGAGGTGCTGCCACTAAAGAGGTAGGATCAATAACGATGGTGTCTTGAACTAGATTGATAACAACAGAGGTGGTAAGAAATGGGTAGAATATAGATGGTTTTATTTTTGTTTCAAGACCAGGTTTTTCTCTATATCCCAGCATAGCCCAGAATTCTCCTAATTTTGTATGCTGGGATTACAGGCTTCTGCATGTCCACCATGCCACCAAGTCTGGATGTGTTTTCAAGGTAAAACTGAGGATTTGTAGATAGATTGATGTAGGTTGTAAGACCATTCAGTATGTAAGGATTTCAAAGCGCAGTTCAAGACAGTAAAGATTGCATGGTGGTGGGGTCACATAAGATTGGGAAATAAATCAGTTTGCTTTGGACATTTCAAGTTTGAGACACCTATTAGACAACCAGATGGAGATATTGAGTAAAGGGAGTAAGATATCTAAAGCCAAAGCCTGGGGAAGAGATTTTGGCTAACAATGTGGAGGTTTGAACAGGTCTGGCCCCCATAGACTCATGCTTGGCCACAGGCAGTGGCACTATTAGGAGGTATGGACTTTTTGGAGTAGGTGTGGCCTTGTTGGAGGAAGTGTGCCACCGTGGGGATGGGCTTTGAGGTCTTCTATGCTCAAGCCCTACCCGCTATGGAACACAGAAAACAGTTTCTGCTGTTTTCAGATCAAGATGTAGAACTCTTAGCTCCTTCTCCAGCACCACACCTGCCTGCATGCTGCCATGCTTCTTGCCATGATGCTATTGGTCTAAACCTCTGAACCTATAAGCCAACCCCAATTAAATGTCTTCCTTTGAGGGAGCTGCGTGGTCATGGTGTCTCTTCACAGCAAAAGAAACCCTGACTAAGACACACAGATACAGGAGTCAAGATACAGAGATGTAGCTTAGGTAAAAGAAAGACTGTAAGAGCCAGAGGGGTCAAGGACCCCAGGAGAACATGGCCCACTAAATCCACTAGGCAGGCTCATGGGGGCTCACAGACACTGAAGCAGCAAGCCTGGGCCCTTGTGGGTCTGCACCAGGTCCTCTGCATATGTGATGGCTGTTAGCTTGGTGTTTCTGTGAGACTCCTAACAGCGGGAGCAGGTGTGTCTCTGATCCTTTCCCATGCTCTGGAGACCCTTTTCCTCTTATGTGGTTGCCTTGTCCACCCTTGATATAAAGGTCTGTGCCTAGTCTTTTGTAACTTGTTATGCTGTTTGATTGTTCCCTGGGAGGCCTGCTCTTTTTTTTTTTTTTTTTTTTTTTTTTGAAGAGAAACAGAGGATCTGGGGAAGAAGGGAGGTGAGCAGGGGACTGGGAGGAAGGGAGGAGGGGAAACTCTGGTCAGGACGTATTGCATGAGAGAAGAATAAACTAACAAACAAAAATTTAAAAATATGTAGCTGAGTGGTGGTGGTGGTGCACTTGGGGAGGCAGGGGTAGGTGGATCTCTGTGAGTTTGAGGCCAGCCTGGTCTACAGGGTAAGCTCCAGGTCAACCAGGGATAACATAGTGAAACCTTGTCTCAAACAAAAGAAAATAAACAAACAAAAAGATATGTAGATGTTACTTATTTTGAGTATCTGTTGTGGACATCTGTGCTGAAGCCGAAGGACACATGGGTCCTGTTCTCTCACTGTCCTATTCCCTTGAGACAAGGTGCCTCACTGACCTGGAAATAGGTTGTGGACTGGCAACCCCCATGTCTACACCACTCACATCACTAGGGTTATGGACACGTGGGCGGCTGTGCCCAGCTTTGCACATGGGTGTCAGGATCTCATGATTTTGGGGCATGCACTTTTATCTGCTGAGCCATCCCTTCAGCCTGCAGATGGCATTTAAGGTCACAAAGAGATAAAGGTCTGTGAATAAAGAAATAAAACCATCAATAAATGTTGGTATAATGTTCTTTTGAAATGTACACATCTTACCCTTGCTCATTCAAATGCTGATCCCCCCCTCTGGTTTCAATCCAGATATTGCATTGTGATACTCATTCTAAGCATCCTGTCTCAACTGTCTGTAAACAGGCCAAAATAAAGCAACTAGCCATAATGGGAGGAGCCAGAGGACAGGAAAGAGGGGAGGAGCCAGAAGGCAGGAAATGAGTGGGAGGAGAAAGGGCAAGAAGAGCTGGGAGAGCAGAGCTGAGAGAGAGATCTTGGAGATCTCTCGTGGTGAGATGGACTGGACCTAATATATCACTAAAAGCAAGTATAATGTGGGAAATCTAAATGTTAGGAAACTATGAGGGCTTAGAGGTTTAGGAGGGAGTAACTATTGCCCAGCATTGTGTTCTAGGTTAATTAAATTAATCATAGTCTCTGTGTGGTGATTTGGTTATACAGCTGTTTAGGTCTAACAGCAGCATTTACTAAAAGATATATCAATAGTAAATATTAATCATCACCTACAACAAATAAAAAAATATCCTTGAAGCCAAATTTGTTTTAGGAGATACAATCTATGTCAAAACAAAGTTGAGGGCCACAGGACTAGCTCAGTAGCAGCACATGAGCTTAGAGTACAGGGCCTTATATTAGAGCCTCAGTACCCACAACAAAAATTAAGAACTATGAAATGCAGCTGGGCATGCTGGCACATAACTTTAATCCCAGCAGACTTAATCAGGAAGCAGAGGCTGGCCTAGTCTACAGATTGACTTCCAGGATAGCCACGACTGTTACACAAAGAAACCCGGTCTCGAACCACCCTCCCCCACAAAAAAAAACAAAAAACAAAAACAAAACAAAACAAAAAAACACAAACCAAAACAAGAACAAAAACAGAGGACAGGGTAGGGAGGACACACTGATTAGTGGCAGGAAATCCTTGACATATGTGTTCCTAGACTAGAGGCAGGGTGTGCCACAGCCAACATGGTGATAAATGGGGGCTGAGGGAAGGTATCAGGATGGCCAGTTTGCCTGGGTTTCATATTCCTTCAGAGCTACACATTTACATTGTTGGTGTTTTTTGTTGTTTAAGTCTCAACCCAGGCTGGTCTGTACTTACTATGTACACCTGGCTGGCAAGGTCCTCTTGCCTCTGCCCCACAAGTGCTCCGATTACAGGCACGACCCGACTGGACTTTTGATGTTATTGTCGAATAAGGTTATGCATGTGGCCTTTTGTGTGTGTTCTTTAGAATCTTTAATTGTATAACCTTGTTTCTTCCAATAAATGAGTATTCTGGACTTTATTCAACCCAAGTAGGACCAGGATGAAGGTGATGTAAGTTTGGTGACTTGGGGGCAAAAGAAGCTGTGAGCTAGGTCCTTAGAATCGAGTGTACTTTTGGCAATGCCTTGTGCCTTTCGCGTTGTACCTGGTTCCCGCCCCAGATAGGAGTTCAGTGATAAGCGCTGGGTCAAAGGCAAGCCAGAGCAGAGAAACTCTCTGCAAGTAGGATGTACTAGTCTGGGAGCCCATTAGCAAGAACTAGCGGAGAATGTGTCAGTCCAAATGTGGAGTGTAGTGCCACCCCATGGCCATTACGGCTAAATGCTCAGGACTACATCCAGGACCGAAGCGGCAAAGTAGATACACAGGTTTGTTTCTCCTACTAAAACACTTATCTCTATAGACACAATCCAGTCATCTGGAGACTCATCAGCCTTCTAGGGTTGTCCTTAGTATATCACCTACCCAGCAAACGCAAAGCTCTGGCCTTAATTCTTAGCCCTAGAAGTAGAGGCAGGAGGATAGAAGTTCAAGGTTGACTTCAGCTTCTTGTGGTAAATTCAAGGACAGCCCTAGATTAAAAAATAAATAAATAAATAAAGCTGGATATGGTGGTGCTCACCTCTAGTCCCAGAACTCAGAAGGCAATGGCAGCGGATCTGAGTCCACCCACATTTGTATACAGAGACCCTGCTTGAACACGACCACTCTTAAGAGGCTGACTTTGAAGTAATTCTTCAACACACTCAAGTATATAGTCCCTTCTGTCCAAAACTAGTCTTACAGATTATATAGGCTCTCCTGAAGAGCTCCAGGAGGCAGCAGACCCGAGAAGGGAACTGTTTAACAAGTTTTTATTAACAGAGACACACAGGTAGACAGAGAACGCAGCAGAATGTCTGGAAAGTGATAGGGTGCACTCACACTAAAGGCTTCTTTTGGAATGGGGCGGCTCCTTGGACCCAGGTTTACTTCTCCGGACCCTCTCTTTTGGGGCAAGTCCTAGTCTTAAGCCAGCTTTTCTATTATAGCCCAGCAGAGGCTCTGTGATGGAGGCCCTTCCTTCCCGTTAGCGCTCCATACATCCTCGCCTGCTGAGTCGGTTGCTCGGGGAATGGAGGACGAGCCCCAGGGGCACTTGCATAGCGGGGAGTGGAATGGAGATAAGGCATATGGTGAGGAAACGGGAGATGAAGAGGAGGGCATCACAGCTGCAGGTGAAGGGGCGACCCAAGGGCGGCTCCTCTTCTCCTTCACCTGAGAGATTAATGCTGGATTGAGGCATAGAGAGAGGCAGGGTTACATCCTCCCCGGTCCTTAACCTCAGAGCCCTGAATGCCAGCAGGAAGCTCTGGAAAAGCCTGAGTCAGCAGGTCAAACTTGTGTGTTCAAACATGACCGGCCCCCATGGCATATATGTGGGGGACCCTCTCTGGATGGATGAGTGCATGATCTTACAGTCCATAAGAGTCTTAGCATCTCCGGGTGTCCCACTGGCTCCCAAAGAGGTGTGTCTGGATGTGTAAGTATGTATGTCTTCCTCACACAGCAGGGACTTAGTATCTGCATGGGTTATGCTGCTGTCTGAGCACGAGTTCCAGCAAGTAAATGAATGTGATCTTGGCCGCTATTGCCCATCCACAGGTCTTCCTTCAGGCCTGTCTGGTCAGGGGTCTTGGCCGAAGAGGTAGGTGGTGAGCTCAAGCCGGAGGCCGCGGGCATAGGAGCGAAGGGTATAGAAGAGGGTGAGGAAGTCCTGGGTACTGAAGACAGTGTCAGCTAGTGCAAATGCTAGGGTAGATGGAATGACACCTCGGCCATACTCCACCATCCACGTGTTTGGTCCCCATTCCACAGCCGTTGCCTCTCCAGGCCCATGCACAACGGTCTCTCCTGGGGACAGAGAGAAAGTAGCCTCCTGAGATGCCCAGCTCTCCCCTGGCCTTCCACAGCGTATTGCCCTGGCCTGTGTACTGTCTATGTAGAGGTGGGGAATGAAAAGACAGTTTCAAGAAAGAAAAAACCTCTAGCACCCTCCCCCGCAACTGGCCTGCTCTCCCATCAGAGGGGACAGACTGAAGTGCCTACTCCTACATAGTCTATGGCATTACCTGGCCGACGTCCTCCCTTGGGGGAGGCCATGGAAAGCCACCCCCACCCAGCCATAGCCCAGTGCATGGGGGTCACAGGCGCCCACATGCCCAAGCCTCAATAGTACGTAGTGGAAATCTTGCTAACCCTGGGCTAGGCTAATTTGACCCACTAGATTCTCCGAGAAATGTAGCTGTTCAAGCACAAGGCTTGACACTTAGCCTTACACCAGCAAGCCCAAACTTTTTCTTCTTGTAAATGGATCCAGAGGCCCATTAAACAACAACAGGAACTAGCCAGATGGCACCATAGTTAAGAGCACTCTCTGACTGCCTTTGCAGAGGACCCAGGTTCAATTTCCAGCACCCACAGGGAGGTTCAAACTGTGTCACTTCAGTCTCAAGGATCAGTTGCCCTCTTTGAAGGCACTGTAGGCGCATAGACATGTATACATACACGTATATGTAGTCAAAAACACCCATAAAAACAAATAAAAACGGGAAAACAACAATAAAAACACAAAAACCCCATACTGCCTCACTAGTTTAAAAAGGAGTCTGGGAAACAATTGTCTGTCTTAACTTTTGGGTCTGAGTGTCTCCCAAACAATTGCTGGAATAATGGCTAGGTCAAACAGGCTGATAAAAATCTGCCCACTATGACCGGAAACTGCCATGTTTTGTTTCTCAGCTAACCAAAACACCTGTGGCTTACCAGAGAGAGGAGATCACAGGTAGGTCTTCTTAACACGCCATGTCCACGGTTTACGCCCTTCCCTAGCTAGAGGGCGCTCCCTCAGACAGAACTTCCTAACTCACCTGGGTAGAAGACCTCACTTTTCGTAGTGCCCTCTCTCCACTGGTGGAATGTGCCAGAGATGATGGTGTCAGAAATCTCAGCCCAGTATCGCCCTGAGTGACAATAAAATAGACACCGGCCATCAGGGTAACCTTGTCAGCACACGGCCCAGCCAAACCTCAGAATGGAGAGCACCGGTCCTCCAACAGCCCAGCCTCCCAGTCCGGCCCACCGCCAGCACTGACCCGAATGGCCACGGGAGCCCAGGGCGGTGCCGAAGAGCAGCACGTACTCGGACAGCGAGGCGTGCAGAAGACACATGGCGCCCATCCAGCCGCCCGCGTTCACAAACACCCACTGCAGCTCCTCATCCGGCAGCACGTGGCCTGGGTGCAGTCTCCGCAGTTCCACGATCAGCCGAGAGAAGGCCAGTTCATGGTCCAGCCCTGATGCAAAAAGGAGCGGCGTGGATGAGAGCCCGCGGTTGGGGCTTGGCGGGGAAGAGGCCCTCGCACAGCTCCGCTCGGCTCCGGGAGGCCCACCCCGCTCCCCGCCCTCACCCGCTCACCCGCGTACTGTCGAGCAAGCTGCGCTATCTCTTCTCTCTGGAAGACGAAGCTCTGCGTTCCCAGCCACAGCCAGACGGCCTGGGTCAGCACGGCAGCAACAGCCAGAAACAGGGTGGCCCATGCCCACCGGCGGCCCACGGCCCACTGCATCCCAGCGGGCAGCCTGGCACAGACCAGCGCAGGACAGAACCGGGGCCTCCGGCTATGTACTCACAGCCTCGAAAGCCACTGCCCACGGTCGCCCCCGCCACCGTGGTACGGCTCGCTCGGACCAATCGGAATGTCTGGGTCACCTAGCACCGCCCTCTGGATTGAACCATTTTCTAGGGGGCAGAGCATAGGGTTGGGTGGCGCGATCCGTAGGGTTGGTGAGGGGACGGGGCAGCGTCTCCCGGTTGCCACCCAGAAGTGTTCAGTCCTGGTGACCCCTAGCGCCAGGCTCTGTGGGGGTGAACGGCGGGAAAACCTAGAATGACCGCTTGGGCTGCAGAGCCCAGAACTAGAGCTTTCTAGGACTCCTGATTGCTAGGACAGAGTCGAGGAGATAGTGCCACTGTGAACGTTAGGGAAGGCCTTCCGGAAGCGGTGACGTTTGAAGTGTCCGTGAGAGCGATCTTTGCAGCGGATGGGAACCATTCCAAGAGTTAAAGAGCAGAAGGGCAAGACAGCATATGAATATGAGGTGTGTGTGTATAAGACAGGGTCTCACTAATGTAGCCCTACGGATCTGGAACTTGATATTTTAGACTAGGCTGGCCTCGAACTCACTGAGATCCTCCTGCCTCTGTCTTTGTCCCTGCCTCAGTGATGGGATTAAAGGAGCGAACAGCCACGCTTGTTTTGCATGGTGTTTTCTGAGCCTACAGTTCATTCTGATGTTCTGAAGCACAAAAATGTGAAAGGCCCTATAAACCAATAGATTTATCCACTGGGGAGCTATGGATTAGATTTTGCCACAGAATGATTCTGGGCTACATAGAGGAGGGGGCCAGAATTGGACTAAAGTCCAAGGAAGAGAGCCTGTGTGTCTTATTATTTAAGAGTATGTATTGGCAGCTTTATCTATAATGTAGAGTAAATAAAAGTATCTGCGTCATAGCCCATACCTTCACTGTGATTATCATCGAATGAATTAATATTGTAATGTAATTAGAGCCTGGCACATGATTAGGGTTATGTATGTTAGTTACAAAAAGCCAGTGTAAGGCTGACAGTGGTGGCACTCGTAATTCTAGAAGTTGGGAAGGAAAGGCACAGGATCAGTAGTTCAAGGTCATCCCCAGCTTTGGAGTCAACTGAGGTCATAGGAGAACCAACCTTGTAAAGGGGGGAAAAAGCCTTATGCACAGGAGTGATGAAGGGTCTATAGTCAAATGTGACCGAGGGATTGAAGACATGCATGGAGAACCACCATTGGATTTTCAGTAGGAGTACGTGGCAGATAAACTCTCTATTGCTCTTCAGCGACCACAGCACATCCCACAGTGTCCTCTGTAGTCGCACAGGGCCACGTACTACGTAATTTTATTTTGGGTAATGAAATGGAAGCAGAAATGCTGTATGACATTTCCAGGCCTAGCTTCTGAAAATATGTGAAATCTCGGGGCTGGCAAGATGGCCCGGTGGTTAAGAGCACTGGCTGCTCTTCCTGAGGACCTTGGTTGGATTCCTAGCAGGTGCACAGTGGCTCACAACTGCCTGTAACTCCGTTCCAGTGGCTCTGACCCTCTCTGGCTCTGCAGGAACTGCACACACACAGTGCACTGACACACATGCGCCCTGCAGTAACACACCAGCACACGGAAACTTAAAATAAAACTGGGAAATTCTATGCCCTGTGAAAACACCTTTGCCGGTTACAGAAGACCTTTTGTTGTTTGACAAGATGTTTCCTAGGGAGACACAACACCACCAGACAGTGAGCCTAGGGCAGCCCAGATCCAATTTGGTGAACCAATGAGTTTTATTGGGGTTGCGTACAGGAGCAGAAATGACTCAAAGACAGCTGCATCACCAAAACTCACTCCAACATGGTTGACTATTTGCAAAAGCTGGGCACCTGGAAAATATCGCACAGCCTGCAGACAGTTCAACGGTTTCAGGGTGTCCTTTCCAAGCGACTCAGTTGGTCTAAACCTCTTCCAGGCCTCTCCTATGCTCTCATGACTCTTGTTGCAGCTCAGCTTCCCTCTGTCTGAGAAAGTCTCGTGTTTATTGCTTGTTACAGTGGGGGTGGGGAGGAGTGAGGGACTAGTGAATTTGATCAGTTTCAGGAACTTTCTGAAGCGATTTTCAGTTGTTTACCTTCATGCTCAAGGAGCTTAACAGGATGGGATGTTTCCATCCTAGGAGGAAACTTACACAACATCTATTGTGATGGCGAATCTTTTATAAAAATTTATTTATTTATGCATATGAAGGCTCATTTGCATGTGCGCTTGCATGCAGAAGGTGGCATCAGACAGAAGAGGGCATTAGATCCCGTTAGAGATGGTTGTGAGCTTCTATGTAGTTGCTGGGATTTGAACTCTAGAAGAGCAGCCAGTGCTCTTAACCACTAAGCAATCTCTCCAGCCCATGATGGCTATTCTTGGTCATCAATTTGACTACATCTGGAATTAACTAAAATCCAAATAACTGGGCACACCTGTGGGAGATGCTTTTCTTTTTTTGTTTGCTTTTTGTTTTTCAATACAGGGTTTTTCTGTGTAGCCTTGGCTGTCCTGGACTCATTTTGTAGACCAGGTCGGCGTTGAACTCACAGAGATCTGCCTGCCACTGCCTCCCAGAGTTCTTCCATTACAGATGTGAGACCAAGGCCTGCTAAGGAATGCTTTTCTTAATTAAATCATTTGAAGTGGGAGGAGCTAGTTCTAATCCAGAACTTTGAAGTGGGAAGATACATTTATAATCTGACCACACCTTCTGCTGGCAGCCTATGTAAAGGACACGGAAAAAGGAAGTTTCTTCTTGCTCTTGATGGCAAGTCCATTTCTTCACAGCCTATACTAAAGACTAGCTGAGGCATTCAGACTCATTGACTGAGCAGCTACTGGGTTCTTGAACCTTCCACTGGTAGACAGCCATTGTTGGACTAGCAGGACCACAGCTTGTAAACGTTTCTCAATTGCCCTTTAATTTTCCCATGTTGCAGTATATTGTACAGCAAAAAGTAAAGGGTGGGGAGATGGACTATGACATCTTTGTTTTGTTTTGAGAAATCTAGTGGAGAATGAAAGGTTGAGGAAACATGTTTTGAACAGTCTCTGGCATCGTTGTCATTCCTAAATTGACCATTTTCACTGAGTTTCTTTTTTTTAATTATTTATTTATTATGTATACAATGTTTTGCTTGCATATACACCTGCCTGCATGCCAGAAGAGGGTACTAGATCTCATTATAGATGGTTGTGAGCCACCATGTTGTTGCTGGGAATTGAACTCAGGACTTCTGCAGGAGCAGTCACTGCTCCTAACCTCTGAGCCATCTCTCCAGCCCCATTCACTGAGTTTCTTATAAATAAATAAACAAATCCCATTTTCTCAGCCTCAACTACTAGCTGCACTATAGATAGAAACATGTCTCTTGTCTGTATGAGTTAGGGTAAGTAATCTTAGTTGTTATAACAGCCCCAACCTCTGTGCACACAATACCAGAACTCAGAGGGCTTCTGGTAGCAGGCTTCTGCCCCTCATTCCATGTAGAAACATGGAATTTTCTGAGACCATCAGGCCTACAGCTTCCCTCTCTGGTCTTTCAGAAAACTCCTCCAGAATGGTACATTAGAAAAAAAAAAAAAATCCTCCCAGGCATGTTGGCTCAGTCCTTTAATCCCAACACTCAGAAGGCAGAGACAGGTGATCTCTGTGAGTTCAAGGCCGCCTGGTCTACAAAGTGAGTTCCAGGACAGCCAGGGCTGCACAGAGAAACCTCAAAAAAAAAAAAAAAAATCCTATGGCTTTGAGTGACTTCATGAGAAAACTAAGATGGGAATGACAACCATCTTCTCCAAATGTCACAGCAGATATCCTGTATCTGGGATCTAGGTGGGAGAAGACCTACCTAGACCACCCCCTTCCCTCAGAAAAGACACCGAGAAAGAAGTATGACGATGCCCCTGAAGGGTATCAGGAGTCAGTTGGCACGATCTAGGGAGTGACGCTGAAGCATTGGTGCTCCTAAGTAGAAGAAGTGCCACAGTCTAGTCACGGAGAGGCAGCAGAAGGGATAGAGAACATTTCCCCTTTCCTGTCCCTATCCTCTGCTGCACTCTGAGCAGCCACCAGACTGGTAAAACTCACATTTCAGTCCCTGCTCTATGCCCTCAACCCACTGGCCTCTTCAGATTCCAGACTGAAGATTCTAGGGCAGAGATCAATGACCAATGACCCAATTTTTGCAGCTCAGCTGCCAGCATGCCTGCCTCTGCCTAGGCTGCACACCTATCATACAGTGAGGTCGTGATAGCATAGGTGATGCATACCTGTAATACTAGTAGTGGGAGGTGGGAGCAGGGAAGTGAAGGTCCACAATCACGCCTTTTCCTAGAGAGTTCAAGGCCAGTCTGGGAGACATAAGACCCTGTCTCAGAAAGAAAGGAAAACAGCAACAATGCCTAAACAAAAACAAGCTCCCTCTAAACAAAACCAAACTTTCTTAAGAAAATATCTCTGGGGCTGGAGAGATGGCTCAGAGGTTAAGAGCACTGGCTGTTCTTCCAAAGGTCCTGAGTTCAATTCCCAGCAACCGAATGGTGGCTCACAACCATCTATAGTGAGATCTGATGCCCTCTTCTGGAATGCAGGCACATATGCAGGATGAACATTGTATAAATAAATAAATCTTAAAAAAAAGAAAGAAGGAAAGGAAGGAAGGAAAGAAGGAAAGAAAGAAAGAAAAAAGAAAGAAGGAAAATATCTCTGGGGCCCCAGAAGAGACATCTCAGTGGTTAAGAGCATTTGTTGTTTCTGCAGAGGATCTGGGTTCCATTCCCAGAACCCACATGGCGGATCGCAGCGATCCATTACTCCAGTCCTGGATGCACAGACATGAGTGCTAGAAAAACACTAACACACATAACAGAAAAGAAATAAATCATAAGAGAAAACACATAAGATGTTTTCAGACAGAGGCTGAGGTCAGTCTAGAGATCACATTTTTAATATTTATTTATTTCCCCTTTTGTTGGAGACCAGGTCTCTCTTAAGTAGTTTGGGCTGCCTAGAACTCTATATAACAAGG